TTTCGTATGAAATATAATATAATAATAATAAACGACGAATACAATATTTAAAAAAAAAAAAAATATAAACAAAATACATTATTTACATTATCTAGATATATATATATATATATATATATATATATATATATTATGGGACACATATTATTATTTTTATATTCTCTTTCGTATGAAATATAATATAATAATAATAAACGACGAATACAATATTTAAAAAAAAAAAAAATATAAACAAAATACATTATTTACATTATCTAGGTACAATCATAGTCAATCATATGCACTCGCCATTTTTTGTTAATTTTTTTTTCATTTTTTTACTCGGCTGCCAGAGTTCACAGTTTATTTATTTATTTTTTTTTTTATGTTTCACATATCTTCATTATTTTAAATGAAAATTCTTTGGTAATAAGATGCTCAGCACTGAGCATCAAATAAAAAAATAAAACAAACGATGAAAATCATTTAATTATATATTTTTTTTTTTTTATTAATTTTTGTTCTATCGATTGAAATGATATCAATTGAATTGGTCATTCGTTTGATTATTATTTACATACAAGTACAGAATACCCTTAAACAAAATTACATTAAAAAATAATCAAATACACTATCCAATCGGATTGCACGACGAGATTTACAGAAACACAGTTGAGGACAGTGTACAGAAATAATTTAAATTTTGTTGTTACGAGTGAAACCTTAACTAAATTATAAATTACGAATAGAAAAAAAAAACAAATATTATGTTTTACAGGTAACATAAATAAATAGGTAATATTATCTTCATTAATTAGGTATTACAATTGATGATGTCGTACTTGAACTAATTCATTTAACACACGACGCGAATAATCTTCTTAAGAAGATTTAATAATAATAATAATAATAGTAGTAGTAGTAATAGTAATAATAATACATAATCTTGTGATCAAAAAAAAAAAAAGTGTCATATGTGATCTTGCCCTAAAAAGCAACATTTTTATAGTACACATATATTTTGAATATGCATCTATCAGGTTTTTTTATTTTGGAAATTAATTTTCTTTAATACTTAACTTTCCTTTTAACTTTAAAATTATTTTAAATTCTAATAAAATATATTTCATGTATGATAGCAAAATGAAAACACTTGGTGGATAATAATTTTCGTATTAAAATGCAAAAAATAATTGAAAAAATCGACAATAATTTCATGATCATCTAAAACAATTTGAATTCTAATAAAATTAATTTCCAAACAACCTAATTTACATTTATATTTATTTATTTATTTATATATATATATTTTTTTGTTCATATCGTAGATCTACCTTTGGTACAATTATTTTCTCTCTCTCTCTCTCTCTTACTACTGACTACAATCATGATTTCTCTTTGTTTAATAGCATAATATTATCAATTATGTCCCCTTGATCATTTTTCTTCCCTTTTTTCTTATTTAATTGAATTTTCTTTATTTGTTTTTGGTAAAAACAGAAAAGATCGATAAATCTTTTCTTAAATCTTATTGAAGGAACAACAATAAAGAATATTTCACGTTTAACTTCTATAATTATTAATGAATTGAATGTTTTTAAGTATAATAAATCAGGTAATAAACCTAACCTTTTAAAGTTAGACGATTCTTGTACTACATCGTAATAATATCTCATGAATATTTTCTTCAATTCATTAATCATGAAAATTGCGAAAATATTTGAATTAACGAACGAGTATGATCGTTCGTAGATAATTCCTCATATAAAAAGATAATTTTCATAATCATTATAGGCAGCTGTTGTTACATGTTTGGATGAAATTGGTGTCGATGGTACACTCAGTGGCAATTGTTGCGATTGCGATTGCGATTGCGATTGTTGTTGTTGCACACGCGACAATTGCAATGCTGGCAATTGCGTTGTATGCGAAACAACAATTCTTGATGTTTGATTGATCGAACCCAATGATAAATGATGATGATGATGATGATGTTGGTCCAGTTTGTGGACGTTGTTGTTCGTAGTACTCGTATTATTATTATTATTGTTGTTGTTATTATTATTATTATTGTTGTTGTTAGGATGATTGTTATTATTATTGTTGGTATGCTGATGAAGAAGAAGATGATGATTGTTGTTCTCGCTTTGAGCATAATGACGATGATCGGCATGAAGATTCAGTCGTGACATCGCCATACTGATACTCGAGTCAGACGCCCACATACTCTGAAAATGACGAGGCCTTTGTGTTACCCAACTTAATTTGACTTTCTATTCATATAATTCTTATGAATTATTCTTATAACCATATTAGTGTTTCAACAGGTAAACTCGTTTTAAGTAGAATTATCATTTATCGGAATATCGAATACAATCGTCGTATTGTTCTAAGTGAAATCGTATGATTCATTTGAAATAAATTTACTTTATATTATTTTTATTATTATTATTATTATTATTATTAGATGCACCTGGTGGTGTGACAAATAAATTTTGTTTCATTTTATTAGTGGAAAATATTTGTGCGTGTGTTTTATTTGAATTTGTTGTTCTTCAACACGTTGAGCGCTACGTCAGCCATCGATGGCTGACACGTTCAACTAATTTTGCAATACAAAGTAACCTCTGTGGCCTGACGGGAATTTCCCTAAGAATTTGCGTGATGGTCAATGTGTTAATGTGTCACGAGTTTAATTGGATTGTATTTTTGTTTTTTTCAAGTTAAAGATGTAGTAGGAAAATCACCTTTCTCCTGTGTGGATTATAATCGGGATTACGTCGAATACGTAAATGTCTATCAGCACTGGTCCATCGTTGCGTAACTTTGAGAGGTGAATCATCTGGATGTAATTTTCTTTGATACTCTTCACCTTCACAAACTTCGTACAATGAAAATTGTTCAACGCGTTCTTTCGAACTATAGCAACTCAATAACATCTGGATCAATTCGTCCACGGTGGTCTGTTCTGATACGAGCAGACTCTTGTACTTTGACTGAAAAAAAAAAAAAAAAGTTCAAGTTAATCCTAGAAGTTTATTGTTTCGAATAATTACAATGTGTATATACAGTTCTACTTAATTATACTAACTAACATAACATATTCTATGTTTAACGTTAAATACTTACACCAGACATGAGAGCACTGTCGTATATTTTCACAAGCCCACCACGACGTGTCTGCAAAGAAAATCTGCAAAGGAAAGAAAAAAAAAAAGAAAATCATGAAATTTTTTTTTACAGTTTATAGTTAAAACGAGAAGAAAAAGAAGACAAAATAAAACAAGATCGGTAAGTTCAAAAGGTTACATTCGTTGGAAGATCTCTACCTCCCTTTACCCTTCATTCTACTTCGATTTCACCGGAAGTTTCCAACTACCTAACCGAAAATAACCAAAATGAAATGAAACATACGATTGAAGATTCAGAACTTCTTTTACTTTTTTTTTTTATTTATATCATTAAATCGATTTGTTTTTTAAATTATATATATCGTGAGAGAAATAGATTTTTGTCTAACGTATGAGAAAATCTTTTTTTTTTTTTTTTAATGATCAGTTTATATAAACACGTACATGTGCACGTGTGAAAGAAAATAAATAGACATTTAGAGGAGTGTAGAAAAAAAAAAAGAAATAAACTTAAAAATTCAGGGTGGTCTTTCTAAAAAAGGATAAAAAAAAAGGAAGCCAGTGTGTTAATGTTGTTTAAGAAAAAAAAAAAAAAAAAAGAAGAAGCTCGTATTTATCGACCTTGTACCCTAAAATTATTTTAACCAAACCGAGTCTCCTCCTTTCACGGAAAATGAAATGATAAAATTTACTTGGTAAAGAAAGTTTAGTGTTGAACATAAAAAATACCTGGAATCGCCTCGTGGATGACAGGATTGAAGAACAGCAGGTCTGGCATCCTCATCGAGTGGTAAAATTGTGCGTACGTTAGCCCTTCGAACTGTAACTTCCATGGTCATGTAAAATAATCTTGGATCACGGTGCCTCATACGATATTTGTTTAACAAATTTTGAACAACTTCGTGACATGTTGTCTCATAAGTGATGCTCAGGGTTTTGTATTCGATATCTGGTCGTAAACAATTTGCATACACCTTTATTGTCGTCTGTAAATTAAAAAACAAATATCGTTAATTATTTTCATTTAATTTTATTGACAAATTTTTTTATTCAATATTTGACCATTCTTTTATTATTTAACACTTTGAGTTAAAGACACATATATGCGTTTGGTAAAAATTATTAACCTTATTGTTTGAAGCATATACGTGTTTTTGTTAATATTTATATAAAGTAATTTAATATTTCTATTAATTAATATAATAATTAATATATTAATAATTATTGAATATAATATATTATTTATTATATTAATAATAATATAATATAATATTAATAAATAATAATAATAATATACTAATTAATATATTATATTCAAAAACAAAAACTTTAATTATTAAATATAATTTATTATTAAAATCCTTTTAATTAATTATTAATATAATAATTATAAATTAATAAATATTTCTGTTCCTACAAAACATTTTAGGTAAAAGTATTCAAAGGGTTAACAATGCTCGTATAATTAATTTTTAATGAATAATGTTTAATTGCATTTTATAAATTTATATATGATTTTCATGTATTTCCATATACTACACATTCAAACATACATATTGTATTTTATTATTTAATTATTAGTGAGAATAGTGTACGTGTGTTATACTCGTATGCTTTACCAATGTTATTCGAAAATGGACTAACGTCTCTCTTATAATAAGACGTTTATATGTTAGTATAGATAAATATGTTTTGTTTACATATACACGTATTCAACATACATATTCGGATGATAAGACTACTTGTATACAAAAGAAAGCTCGAGTGAGAGATCGACCTTCGCGACCTATTCTTCTCTTTCTTCAAGGATAATCTCATTCCTCGTTTATACAAAGACGTGTTTAGACGTGTTTTATTTCGTTTCATTTATTATTTATTAAAAATCAGTTTTAATTCTCATTTAGATTATTTCTAATGTTTTATTGAACACATTTAATCATTTGTGGTGTATTAATTATGTTTTATTTCATATTCAATTATAATAACTATGTATTAAAAGTATGTTAGATATTATATGAACATAATTAGGTTTTATTTTAACATTATTACTAGTTTGCTTTTAGTTAACATTATGAATAATTGGTTTGGTGATCTTAATTTTATCTTTTATGATTTACTAATCAAGCTTTATATCAAATTTATCTATTAAAAGTTATAACCTGTATTTTTATTCTTTAATATTTCCTATTTAGTTGAATTACTTAATAAAAAGTAAATCTTTGTGCTCAGCAATCTCTTCATGGTGAGATTTTGTAATTGGTATGGCAAATATTAATACAATGCATGTACTATCAGTTAAATGGCTAACGTTGAATGCATCAAATTTTTCTAACATACATTTCATTGAATTTAAATAATATTAAAGACATTGAGAGATCTATAAAGTATTCATTGAATTATGATTAAAGTATATTAACCTTTTTATATTTCATTTCTTTTTATGTTTAATATAAATGCTATGGTTTGTTTTAACAATTTTGTTTATAGATCTTCAGTTATTGATTGCGTGCAATGCAATCATAGAGTCAATGTTTGTTTAAAATAGTTTGAAATTTGCTATCAGAGTGATTTACCTTTTAATTAAATTAAATAAAATCGCGTTATTAGAATCAGTGTTAAAATAAACATTCTTCTGCATCTTTATCAGCGAATTTAAAACTTCATCTGAATAAAGCAGCATGTAAGTATTCTTTATTTTCAAATCATATTATTCAATCATTTTTATTATATATTTCATATTTATTGAATATATTCTTTTAATGTATTACGTGTAATTAATTATATTTTGTTATAGATCAATCAACAACTCATCAATTCAACTGTTTAATGGCAATACAATCAACTTCACGACATCATTCAAACCTTCTACAGAAACAATATGGGTCTTGGAATCATCGCAGAACTTCAAGCAAAAGTAGTGAGTAAAAAATGTTTGAATACTTTCAATGTTTAATCATGTTTCAGGATGAAAGGTTTAATATCAAATATAGGTTTCTGTTTTTTCTAAAAAGAGCATAAATACCAATAGGTCTTACTTAAAACACTAGAACTACCACACCATCTGTGATCTTTGATTTGATTTGGTATCAATTATATTTTGATACCAAATATTCATCATTATTGTACTTATTGTTATTATGTATATTGTTTTTAAGATTTCAGAATATGGAGTTCGTTTTATAAAATAATAATAAGTTAATAAATATAAAAATATTCTACTTTGATGTCTTTTTTAAAGACCAGTCATTTTGACTGATTTTGGTATAAAAATAACTACGTCTCAACTGTTGGTAGTTCTAGTTTTAGGATTGATTCTATTAATAGTATATGTAAATAGTTGTTTTCTGATTCCATCTATTATAAATTTGTATTAATTATTAATAAATTAAAATAAAATTAATTGTATTTTTCGCGACTACCGGGATTCGAGAACCTACGATATACTGCGGGTACGATCTGTTACTCTAGCACCGAGCCACGAAGCCATGCTTGCATTAATTATTAATAGTGTAACATTTTAATTTTTGTTTCATCAATTCGAGTTATATTTAATTTTATAATTGTGAAACTCTGTCCTATAACCTATCATTACAATTGCAAATGAATATTAGTATTCTTAACCTTGTATTTTGTTAGCATTAGTATATAGTAGTAGCTTTGTATTTAGTTAGTATTGGTAAATGTTTCATATGAACTACTTTTTTATTAAATTTATTTTAAATAAATTTGAATCATTGATAATATAAAATATAGTAAAAATATTTCTTAGAAATTTTGATAGGGTGAATATATAATTTAAACAAAAATAATATTAAAAATTCTGATAAAGAATTGTAGGGTCATTTTGTTAGCATTAGTATTGGTAAATGTTTCACATGTGAACTTCTTTTTTATTAAGTTTATTTTAAATACATTTTAATAATTGATTATATAAAATACAGTAAACAATTTCTTAGAAATTTTGATAGGGTGAACATATAATTAAAACAAAATATAAATTCTGACAAAAATTGTAGAGTCAAAGAACATAGAAATAAAAAAAAAAAAGGAAAGAGGATATCCTGTTTTCTAAATAAAGGATAAGAAAAAAAAGAAAAAACCTTTTTTTTTTTTAAGGAGTTTTTTAAGGAACACACGGGGTTAGACAATTAGTCCATAATTAACTCGGAGACAGACATGTTTGGGAGCACGCGTGTACCATAAAACCCTATCAACCCTTTCTAATACAGTTAACGTTTATGAGGGTATGCATAAAGCAAAAATAACCAGACACCAGATCACCCAAACTTTCCCCTTCTCTTATTTTTATGAATGCAGACCTACACATATTTTCTATGCTACAGAATTTATTTGTCTAATAAAAGTGAATAATTCTAATGGTTTTTTTTTTATCATTATTGAGGTAGTTGAAGTGAATAGAAATTTTGTTTAAGTTATGAATCATTTTCGAATCGTTTGATGTTACGTTAACAGATAGAATAGATATTTGTCTAAATGATACACGTGTTTAGACACGAGTTTACGATCAGAACGATTTATTATACTATACGACATCCCTAAATTCTTGTTTACACGTACGTGTTCGTGCATCAATCTTTGATTTGAAGTCTTGGATACACATTATTTGCTAGATTTTATTCTTTAAGCTTCTTAGAGTTAATCTGACTAATATTATATGTGGAAACACGTTTGAAGATAAGGAAAAATCATTGATATTAAAATACATTTCCAATTAGGTGTTGCACATGAGTCAGCTTGTTATTTCCAATCGTTAAATTGTGTTGACGTGTGTTTCTTTTGTTCCGGTTTGCAGATTTTGAAAGTAAATGCACATTTACTTTTAAATTTAAGTAGAAAGAAGGAAATATTATTTTTAATGGACAAGAAAAACATTTTTTTTTTTTTTATAATAATAAATGAATTATAAACAAGTTTGTAAGATGCATGTATGATCTTTAAAGATGATTTGAATTCTAAGAAGAAAGAAGTTTACGCAAGATTCTGAATCATCGTTAATGAAATACCAAGAAGCTTACACATGATTAGTTTTTATTGTCTGTTTGCTATGTCATCAGGTGCATTTGATCTTTGTTCCAACATTTCTTTTGATTTATTTTTCTTCTTCCACTTTTTCTTCTTTATTGAAAAACAAAGATCGAAGTGTTGGTATTTACTTTTGTCTCATAACGTGCTGTACTAATGAAAGAGAAAAATCTTGTGCAGATGATGAGGAAAGCAAGATGAGATTTGGAGTGTCAAAACTAAGTCTGTGACATGTCAAGGGACGTCTTTAAAGGTAGAACCAACAAAAAAAAAAAAGGGTTGTAATTTTAAAATACCATCTGATGACTATTTTTAGATTCTCATTTTTATCGTTTATCTTTTTTATTCTTTTTTGTAAATGGTAAATTATTAATACGCTCAATTTTTGTTGTTTTTTTTTTTTCTTTTTTTTTAAAATATTTTTTGTAATAGAAAATTTATGATATTTTCAATAAAGTTAATGTTTAATTCGAGTGAAGGTTGACTCACTAAGTGTCCATTCATACGTAAACTCGTTTGGTAACTAACTCATTTTAATATACTTATGCAACTGTATTAATGTTTTTTTTTGTTTTTTTTTTCATACAACTTTTATAGAATTCCTAGGCAAATTCTTGTTTGATAGACGTAATCGTTACTGTTATACAGTATTAATCGAATATATTGGGTTGTCCAGAAAGTTTACGTTAATATTATTTTTAGAAAAAAAAAAAAAAACAAATGTGTAACCAAAATTGTTCAAACCTCAATCAAATTTCAACATTAAATTTATAAATTAAAATCATTTATCAAAAATACAAATATTTAGAATACATCAATGTATTTTATTATTAAAAAATAAATTTGTGTTTCATATAAACGTAACCAAAAGAAAAGAAAACAAAAATGGTAAGAGAAGGGGAAAGAAAGGTAAGAATTGTCGGAGTATGTCAAAGTGTTTTTG